GTCGAGCCTGATCCTTCATCATATTACCCGGCAGTATGCCTTGATCCTGACACACGAGAAAACCGAGGTCGATGGCGACATGACCGTCGTCTAAAAGGCATGGCCGAATGCCCATGCTCGTCCTCCTCTTTCCCGCTCCGCACTTCACGAGAAATATCGGTTGCCGCGAGTCATGCCATCATTCCGCCACAACAGTCTTAATACTTCACCAACCCCTCCAAAACATCGAAAATCAAGAGTCCATGATCATCATCCTATGTCCGCACCACCACCAGCACTATCACTAATCACCCACCCACCTACCCTTGTCTTCCTACTCACCCACAAAGTCGCTCAAAAACCGACCCACAAAAACCACCTCCGATCCGAAGTTCACCCGCGGAGCTGCTCGTCGGCGATTTACGTACACGGTGCAATTGCACCGAACCGGTGCTATCTCCAGGTGCAAGTACGCGATGGTTGGATCAAGGCGGTGAACGTGCGGCTCAGCGTCACATGAGGATGTGCGTCTTTCTCCGCTTGGAGCAAGCGGAGTCTCCAGTCTCCGCAATTCTGTTGGTGGATGGTGAATGGTGTGGGTGGTCTGGGGGGGACGTTGCTTTGGGCGGGTGGGTGTTACGCATGCGACATCGCAGAGGATACGTAGATACTGCGCGACTATTCGAAGCATTGGCTGTTACCAGCCATGTGAGCTACGAATGCGACAATGTGAGTCTTGCATGCGGCTCAAATCCCCAACCTAAACGCCGTCCCGTTGCCGTGTCCCAGGCCGCCCATCCACTTCCCTTCTTTCGTCGGGGTGACGCATGCGCCTCCCCTTCGCTTCGCTTCGGCATGCATTAACGCGGCCGGCTGTCGGATCCTCCAAATCCATTACATAGTTACGCGACGTCGCGATCGGCTTCTGAACAAGCCCCAGCCAGAAGCCGAGTAGCTTTACCGGGCGCAGTATGCAGGGCGACTCAAGACAGCTTCACGCGCAACCACAGTCTCTTGGGGTTCTTGGTCGTCTTTAAGTCGATCAGCCAAGTGCTGGGCCTACTAATCAATTATCAACATCGGTACGGCTAACTGATGAGATTGGATGGAACGGTGAGGAGACCAGGGACGCAGGACGGAGGAAAGAGCTAATGCGGGGAAAGACTTCTTTCGCAGGCACAAATCGCCGCCGGTTTCCCATCGTCTCCATCGCTGCATGAGTCGTGCGCGCAGACTAATCCAACTAATCCAAGCACACGAGCTACCACCAGAAAACTCTGAAGGATGACTGGGGTATTAGCTCTGTATGCATGCGCGCATTGGGGTGACGGGGCGGAGGATGCAACGGTATTTGGTTGACGGCGAACTACCTGCATGCTAGACAGGCCAAGCTCCGTATAGTGGGGTAAGGTTACCACAAAAATCTGGAGTAACCGCAAAGTCGGAGGAGCCGACTTGGTTTGTGTATATTAAGGAGGGGACCCCAGACCTCTCTCATAGAACGTCTGTTTACCTCCGGTCTGTCCATCCATTCGGGAAAGAAACGCAGCTCGGCAATTTGGACCGTTTGGAACGATGGTGTCGACACAGTACCCAGCGGACGACAAGATCTCCGCCCACGATGCGGCACAGATCTCCGAGCATCACCACGCAGCGAAGGTTGGTGGGCTTGCGGCGAACATGAGTCCAGAGAGGAGGGCGGAGGTGGAGAAGAAGTTGAAGAGGAAGTTGGATGCGAGATGTTCGCTTTTTGTGTTGATTTATATTATGAACTGTGAGTTACCACCTTCATACCACCTACACAGCCAAATGATCTGTTACTGACGAGTTTTATCAGATCTCGACCGCAACAACATCGCCGCTGCCCGCCTGGGTGGTCTGGAAGAAGACCTCAACCTCTCCCCGACACAATACAGCACATGTCTGTCTATTCTTTACGTGGGATATATCCTAATGCAGGTCCCGTCCAACATGATCATCAACAAGATCCCGCGTCCGTCGCTCTACATCGCCGTCGTAATGCTCATCTGGGGCATGATCTCCACCTTATCTGGAAACGTGACCAATTTCGCCGGCATGGTCGCGATCCGTTTCTTCATTGGCTTCGTGGAAGCCGCCTTCCTACCTGGTGCGCTGCTTATCCTGTCGAAATGGTACACGCGCCGTGAACTCACGCTGCGGAACGCGATCCTCTTCTGTGGCAACCTCATCTCAAATGCCTTCTCGTCCCTCGTCGGCGCTGCAGTGCTGGGAAATATGGAAGGCACGCTCGGCCACCGGGCCTGGAGATGGCTGTACTGGATCGAGGGCGCAGCAACAATGGTCATTGCTATCTCAGCGATCTTCATCCTCCCCGATCTCCCGCACAATAGTAAAGGCTTCACCGAGGAAGAGCGCGCCGTTGCTGTCCTGCGCATGACTGAGGATGTCGGCGAAGCAGATGAAGATTCGGCCGAGCAATCTGCTTTCGCGGGTTTCTTCATGGCGGTCAAGGATCTCAAGATCTATGTTATGATGCTCACGTTTACGGCGTACGTGGTTGGATTGAGCTTCAACGCCTTCTTCCCTACGCTCACAAGAACCCTCGGTTTCGGTTACATCACCACACTGCTCATGTCCGCGCCGCCGTGGGCCTTCGCCTGCGTCGTCTCGCTCATCAACGCGTGGCATGCGGATCGGCAGCAAGAGCGTTTCTGGCACATCGTCTGCCCGATCATGCTAGGAATCGTCGGCTTCGTCATCTCAATGGCCACCTCAAACACCGCAGGCCGCTACGTCGCCCTCTTCCTACAAGCCTCCTCCTACGCCGGCTTCATCGTATTCTACTCCTGGATCTCCTCCTCGTTCCCGCGTCCACCCGCCAAGCGCGCCGTCGCCATCGCCATGATCAACGCGTTCTCGCAGCTCGGCAACATTGCTGGGAGTTATGTGTGGAACATGTCGGATAATGGGTACAGGAACAGTTATGGGGTTGTTACGGCGATGTTTGGGGTTACGATTGCGGGATGCTTTGTTTTCAGGGTTATTTTGGTGAGGTTGAATAAGAGGCTGGATGATGGGACGGATGCGTGGGTTGTGCATGGGGATGTGGCGGAGCAGACGGCGGCTGTGGAGGGCGTTAGTGTTGAGGAGGGGAGGAAGCAGATGGGTGATTTTAGGTATCTTGTTTAGAGTGGTGATGGAGAGGTACGCGGTTGCAGATCTAATGAAAGATTTCCAATGTTTAATTCACCTAGTCCACCGCTAGAGATGATGTCGAACTATACTACCATCGCGACGCCGAGCACGATGAGCCCGTAAATCTACACAAGATAGCCCAGTGTCAAATGCGTTTTCATTGTAATGTACACCTATCCTTCGCTGTATGTATATGACTTAATATGTTCGAGATTGCCTCGCGCACGGACTTGGTTCATTATTTTGCCCGTCGCGCAATGACGCAGGTCCAAAACAAAGATCTCGTACTAGCTCCAACACAAGCTTCATCCCCCATCCCCACGGCCATCGCGCCCACCCCATCCCAGCCCTGCGCGCACAACCTCAAACTTTCTTTTTACCCTCTCCGTCCCTCCCATCACCACCCTCCTTCTATTCACAACCACAACCTTAACGCGACAAATGGCACCACCTGCCACACTCATCGAGCGCACCGCGCCCGATGTCGTCCCAGCACCCAAACGCGCACCCGCGCGCTCGCGTCTGCCCACGGCGCTGCGCGTGCCCATTCTCATCAGCTTGAACATGGGCATCAACATGCTGCTGTGGGAGTTTACGGCGAACTTTCTGCGCCCGGAACTGGGTGCTGTGAGCAAGGTGCCGCAGGAGGACGATGTCACGTCGTTTTACTCGCCGGCGGCGCGCGTCGCGATGCGCTGGGTTACGGTGTGGATGACGTGGTATTTTAACTATGACTGTAAGACGCGCTTCCCCACCCTCTAATCAATATGATATGATATGATGGGATGCATTGCTAATGTTTACGGCGATAACAGTCTTCGACGTCTCCGCCCTAACCGTCCTAACCTACGCGCCCTTCACCTACCTCCTCACCACGTACTACGAAATCAGCGCCCTCACCGCCGCCGCCAACATAACCATCGAAGTCCTCTCCTTCGCCATACCCACATACCTCCTCCGCCCCCGCTCCATCGTCCACCGCAACAACGAGCCCCTGCGCAACCGCTTCCTGCTCAACAGCATCCAAGTGCAGGTTTCGTCGTCGATGCTCGCCATCGCCGTGTACATTGTCGTGCTGTGGGCGGGCCAGACAAGCGGTTTCCTGAACACGTTCTTGGTCCAGTACTTCGATATACCTACGCTGGAAGCGGCGCATAATGAGTCTCCGGTGTCTATTCTCATGAAGACTATTGTGGTGGGTTGGGCGGCGAAGGCGTTTTTGCTTAATCCGAGTTTTGCGGCACAGCGCTCAGGAACTCAAACACCAGTTGAAGTCTTTGATCCAAGCACTGCGACCCTTCCTAAGACGATCGAACACAACTTCTTCAATTACAGCAAGAGGACAAGGACGCTTATTCAGCAGACGGTTATTCTGAATGCGTTCTTGTTTGCGGGTACGGTTCAACGGTGTATGACGCTCATTGGTACCGATGTTGTCGGTGCTGTGGGATACGCGGGTGTCTGGGTTGCGGCGAATACGGTGGTTGCGCTGTGGTACGGTTGGGTTGGAGATACCAGCACGGATTACCAGCCATTGTAGGGTTGTGAGGGTAGTGGGGGTTGGTGTGAAGCAGACATGAATGTATTAGTATGGGAAAGATTTTGAGTGGAAGGCTTAGCTGTATTCCTGTCTTTCTGGATGTCACGAAAGATGGGATACATGGAGGGTAGCCGAATCTATTGGATTCATTTGGTTTATTCAGTAGAGGACACATGGGCGTGTCGGCGGCTCTGTAGCTCATTTTGATACCAGTTATTTTACAGTTTTTTCGTTCCTCGAATCGTCTTGTCTTAGTCCGCCTATACTCTTTCAAGTATCTTCAGAGGCATCAATGCAGATTCGCCTAGAATTCGCCTCCTTCCAAGTAGTAAATCTTACTGTCTAAGTTGCGAACCTCATTCTCCAAGTTAGAGACCTGTCCCTCCAAGCCCTTAATGTAGGCATCCTTTGCCTTCACCTGCCGCTTCACTTCCTTAAGAGTCTCGCCACGCTTCTTGTGTTTGGCAATCAGCTTGTTGGCAAGTTTACGCGCCGTCTTATCGGACACGCTCCCGAGAACTTGCTCTTGCAGCTCCTCGATATCAGTATTCTTTTCCTCCAGCTGTCGCATGTACGTCTCGATAACATCGTTCCTTCCCGCATCTACTTCTTCACTCTTCTTGACCTCGGTAAGTTGCTTTTCCAGCTCTGCGATGGTCTCAGATTGTTCATGTACCTCCCACTTCAACCACCCGATGGTATCATCTCGCTGCTGTGTGTCCTGCTGCGACTTCTGGGCCTCCTGCTCCGACTTCGCAGCCTCGATTATCCGAAGGCCGGCCTTCCTCTGAGCTTTCTTTGTTAGCTGATCTATCTTGGCATTGAGCTCAGCAATAGTCTTGTCCTGCTCCTTGATCCTGTCTTCCGATCCACCATTGACCTCCTCGTCGCCCTCGTAATAATCGCCCTGGTAGTAGTCGCGAAGCTCTTTCAGTTCATCCTTCAGCTCTTCCAGCTCTTCTTCCAGAGCCATGCGTGCTGCAGAGAGGTTTTTCATAGCAGCACCATGGTCGCTGGTCGTAGTCGCGTAGGTGGCCTGGAGCCTCTCATGCTCACTCTTCAGTGTCTGGAACGCTTCGTCTTTGGCCTTGATCGCGACAGTGAGCTCGACGATGGTGAAACGCTGCTTGCTATCGACGGCGTCGTTTTGCCTTTTGAGACCATTGATAATGCCGTCTTGCTGCTTGGTCTTAGTCGTCAGCCCTTCCACAAGCTCTTCGTGGCCCTTGTAGTAGTCGCGAAGCTCTTGCAGCTCGTCCTTCAGCTCTTGTAGCTCTGATTCCTTAGCTTCATGCAAGGCAGATAGGTCGTTCATAGCTGCGCTATGCTCGCCGGTCTTGGTCATGTAGGTGACCTGAAGCTCCTTATGCTCGTTCTTGAGTTCCTGGCACGCCGTGTCCTTGGCCTTGTACGCTGCAGAGACCCGAGATACATAGAGACTATGCTTTTGGTAGGTGGTGCTTAAGCTTGAGTATTGCTGTCGAAGGTCCTTGATGACATCGTCTTGTTCCTTGACCTTGTCGTTCAGCTCATCGACGCGCTCCTCTTCGCGCTTGTTGTTGTCGATTAGCTCAACATGATCGTCCCGAAGCTCTGCCAGCTCAATCCTGGTCTCTTGAAGCTTGTCTCGCTGGTCGACGTGGGCCGCGTTCTTGACAGCGAGGTGGCTGTTGAGCTCTTGAAGGTCGCCATTGCGCTCCCGAAGAACCTTGACGGTCTCACGGAGATCTTTTGATGTCTCCCTGTGGTCGGCGATTGCGTCCTTTTGCATGGCGATGGTATCGCGGAGGTCCTTGGTTGCCTCGTTATGCATAGCGACAGTGTCCTTGAGGGTGTTGATCTCGAGCTCTTGAAGCTGAAGGGCTGGATGTTGCGTTAGTGAGAGTGGGTCAAATGGTGGTGTCACGTACCCAAGTCCAGATCTACTTCGCTGCGAGGAGATTCTTGACCTCCAGAAGGCGGGTATACGGGTCGGCTAGCCATAGCGGTGTTGAACAGGTTAGGAGGAGGGGCAGACATGCGTGAGAGTGGTGGCAGAGGCAGTCGCATGTTCATGGGCGGTGTCTGCGGATAGGGATAGAATTGCAGAGACATGGATAGGAAACGACTTCAGAAGGAGATTAAGCGCAGGTCTATCGATGTGAAGCCACCGAATTGGAGGAGTCGCGCGTCAAAGGCTGAGGGCGTGAGACTGGCGTGGGCGGAGAAACAAACGCAGGTAAAGTCGGATATTGTCTCCCACAGTGCGCCAAGCGAGTGGCTGACTAACGCTCCTTCTCTTTCACTTTTGATCTTAGTATTGCAGAAGACCTCGGCTGTTACATTTGGAATGCGCGATTGGGAAGGGAGTGAGGCGTCGACGTCGGCGTCGAGGTGACAAATTGCCACTGGCGACGCCGTGCATGGAGACGACAACGGCTCATGGCAAACCTCAAAGAAGTTCTGAAACGGAATGAACACCTCGGAGCTTACCAATGAATTTGGTCAAACGTTCCTGCCGCATATCCACCGCTTTGGTCTTGCGAAAGACTTTGATACACCGCCGATGGGACACCGACTTTGCCAGTTGCCTGTAGGTGTTTTTCGACATGGCAGCTGGAAGACACCAGAACTCGAAGCATTGGAAGAAGAAATGGGTGACTTCAGACACCAGTATATCGAAATGGCGTCGGTAAAGAAGGTGAGTGCCAAAACGGCAAGTGCGAACAGCGACATCCCGAGACAGTCCAGATCGTGTGAATCTCGAACCCCGATATCTGCTGAAGAAAAACAATACCTTGACAGCTTACCAAACACCACGATAAGTCATAGTGCAGGCCTTAATGGAGATATACGTAACGTCGCGACTGTCGCACTCACCTCTCAATGTAGCCCGGCAATCGCTGCATCATCTAGCATTCCCTGTCGCATTCTTGCTAGATTGTTCGTCGTGAAACCGGTACCTCGATGCATTGATCTCATTGCGAAGGTCGAACATGGTGTTTTCTGGACGTTGGTGCAGCTCTCTGGGCACGCGTCCCCGAACAATTGAAGTTCTAGCGTCCCTGCCCCACGCGGCATCGTCACTGCCACAACCCAGCCATCAAAGCTCCACCCAAGCTTCCATCCCATGATCTGCTTCCTCTCCACAAGTCATCCAGGCCTCCAGCCTTGCCCGCAATTCTGCCTCACAGCCAAGCCCTGAGCCGCAAGAGCCTCGTCCGATCTCACAACCCATCTTGACAACATCGTCATATCTGATTAGGCGTACAGCTTTGTACCCCACACTTACATGTTCACTGCCACACACGCCGGGCCGCACAAGCTCCACCAAGCTTTGCCCCTCGGCACATGATGTTCCGACCAAGACGCGCTCACATAAATAAACGCGACGGCCCGTCAATAGGAGAAGATAGCTAAGACGGACAATTACCCCTCCAAAGCTATAATTCTACGAATTTCCCCGCTATAACAACAACACCACCCAAACCACCAAATATTCCAACCACCTTTCCGTCACACCAACAACCAGACGTCCTAGCCCAACTTCCACAATGCCAATGTGGGCCGGTTTCACAGACCCCGTCCTCGCTCTCTCGGGCGGTCTCGCAAACGAAGAACAAACTCGCCGCAAAGTAGCCCGTGAAATGGCGATCAAGAACGGAGAAGACCCGGATGCGCTCGACAAGAAAGACCAAGGCCCTCGCAGAATAGGCCAATGGCTTTGGCTAAAACCGGAATGTGTGCAGGAATACAAGAAATGCCATGCGGAAGTCTGGCCGGAGGTGCTGGAGCAGATTAAGGACTCGAATATTAAGGACTGTACGTTACTCATCACTCAGCTGAGCTACCTGTCAATCAGGTCGAGCAATATTTACTAACATGTTCTATTAGACTCGATATACATGAACCTCTTCCCCCGCCCCATGCTCTTCGCGTCCTTCAAATACGTCGGCGAAAACTTCGACGAGGACATGGCGCGCATGGCGGAGAACAAGGTCGTGCAGAAATGGTGGAAGATGACGGATAAGATGCAGGAGAGCCCTGTCAAGGGCGCGAAAGGTAGCGCGACGGGGCCTGGGTGGTGGGGGCAAACGGAGGAGGTGTTTTATGTCGAGTAGATAAGGGAAAGAGAAAGAAAACACGGATTTGAGCAAGGAATAGAGGAAGCATGTGTACAAAGGTGAAAGTCATTAGGTACCAAAACAAGGTACTATCGTCTCTTCCTAGAGTCACGTGTCCCCTATATCCTGACCTTCCACAGTTCCTCTGGAAAAATGTTCTCCGAGCAACTAAGTATTCGCTATCACTCCACGACCGCTTCCTCGCCCGCCTCTTCGCCTCTATGTCTCCGCAGCGCACGTCGCTTCGGCAAACGCTGCAATGTCTGGAGACAAGTGTCCAGTTAATAGAGGCAGTTGCTAGGCCTATCTAGGCAGCCGCTAGGCTCAAAAGGGTAACATCCAAGCCCAATCCCCCCTCCAGCTTGTTTCTTGCCAACTATGCCGTCTCCCCGTGTGGATCTGCTAATACAAGGCTGTGAAACATTGACGTCGCGTATGCAAGCCATCGCCAGGCCTTACGGCGTGGCCGGTCACCTTCCGTTAGAGGCTGGGTGCAGGCACACGCGACGCGTCTGGACCCCGCTGCTGTCGATGCTTGCGATTTTAGGCATCGTGTACTGGGGATTATACGCGTTTGCTTGCTTCAAGGATCTTGCTAACTAGACTTCAAGGTTAAACTAACGAGGTAGTTATTCTGAGGGGTTGCAGATAGCAGTATCGCGTTATTGCGTCCTTGTGCATGCTAGCTAAGTTTACGTGACTATTACCGCGGGGAACAACAAACAGCAGCAAGTTCAAAACGCACATTAGAAAGAGGTAGGTCACTCAAGCCTGTACCTGCGCGTTTTTATTGCTGTGGCATGTCGGATAGCAGGCGCCTTCAGCCACAAAACCCTCGCTACTTCACCAACCTGATACCTACATCCCCCCCACAATCAGATAACAGGTTCCTGTCACCCTGTCATCACGCACCAAGGTCACTACCGGCCATGGCGACCCGCAGCTCCATGCTATGTGCGGACACCACATCACACCCGTGGACAGTGCATGCCTAGGTACGGATCACCAATAAAGGAGAGCAGACTTCACCGCTCTTACTTGCCGCCTGTTCCAGGACTGCAACGGTGTGACATCTGACACGGGTGACTGCGTGCGGACAGTGCAGCGGAGACGCCTGGTCTTCCATACACTACCTGGGTGATTCACCTGTGCAACATGGGCGGGGTTCCATGTTTGGTCGGGGTGCGAGGGGATCCCACGCTCCAGTACAAAATTGGAGTTTTTCCCGTTGCCAGATTCTCGTCAGTGTTAAGTTGATTGACTCACATCGAAGTTCAGCCCTCAGTAACAGAGCTCGTGCTACTATTGCACCTTACTTAAAAGCAGCTTTGTTGATGCTCTTCTACCTTGTGCATCGGGATCCTAAACAGACGATACCGGATCATTAATTCTCTGTCACCAAGAAAGCTTTTTACTCACTTTGATGCACGAGTCTCGGTTCGTTTGTCCTGCTACACGATATGGATCGTGATCATATCTCACGACACCGCCCCTCTCAGCGTCCAGAACGAGACGATACCGATCGTTCTCGATCTCTATCGGTCACGCAGCGCCGTTCGCGCTCCCCTCTACCACACCCTTCTAATGAGGCATGTCGTATCAGAGGTGTGTCTTCCCATCGTCTTATGGAGGAATCATCGACAGCAGAATCATCGGTACAACCTCGCTCTTCTATAAGTGCTCGGTCATCGTATCGATCGAGATTAACCCCCCAAACGACCAATACTTCGTCAACACACCGATATGCCACCCCAACATCGAGATCACTAGCACGACAGCTCTCTGTAGCGAGGCATACTACGCATCCGCCTCCTTCTCGACCGTCCGTTCCATGCCAGACACACCTAGACTTCCTGAGTGAGGGAGAGCAAGTCCGAGAATCGACCGAGATCGCCGATGGTCGAGCCCATATCGAACAGTTAAGAGATGCGTCGGCCCAGCAGCCGAGTCTTTCATCCGCTTTACCGACCGACGTTCTGAAATTGATCGAAGACAACGAACAGCTCTCGACGCTATTAACTTAAGGATTCGGTAACAGACACGACCCCTACTCTAACTACAGGTTAGAAAGTGTCGCCCTACATAACCTAAGATACAAGAAGGCAGAGGTATAGTTAGAGAAGATAATCGCCTCTTTAATTGCTGCTATTAACTTTAGAAAGAATTATTAGCATAGTTTATAGAATCTACTAGCTAAGAAAGCAGAAAAATCTGTTTTACTCTACGTTAGCGGGCTAATGCGAATTAGCATTGTAGGCAAGACTAGACAAGATAAATCTTGCCTTATTAGAGGTCTATTAGACAACAAAGGTATTATTTAAACTATATATTAACTATTTGTATTAGCTAGCTAAGGCTAAAACTTAATTAGGCAAAGAGTAGCAAGAGCCTAACTAGAGTAATTCTAGAGTACTAGAGCTCTTAACCTAGACTCTCTAGTCTAAGTTAGAATAATCTACCTACGTACGCCTACTTAATATAGCTCTTAAGCCTACTAAGGCTACGCAGCGCTTTAGACGCCTACTACCTTAAGTAGCGCTATCTAGCTAGCACCTTTATAATATATCTACATTTATATCTATATATCTACTTTACGCGCTACCTTACGTACTACGTAATATCTAATTACTTATATATACTATACGTATTATATTATATTATACGCATATACTAATATACTAAATATAGCTTTATATTTAGCTACTCTTATAAAAATACTATTACTAGTAATATTATAATACTATTACTCTTAATATAGATAATTACTTTACTATATAAATACTTATACTAATATAAAACTTAACTAATATATTATACTATGCGCCTTAGTACTACTTAAGTAAAAAGAAAATACTTCTTTAAATTATTTTATATCTTTAGCGCCTTTATAAATTTTAGTTTAGTATTATTTATTTTTTACTAGCTAACTTAAATAATTAATACTTTTATTAGATTATTCTACTACTTTATAAACGTATTCTTAGCACCTTTTAGCTTATCTATTTTTTATTAGCTTACGCTACGTAGCTATATATACGCATATATATATATATATACCTACTATATACCTACTATATACTTACTTACTTTTTTATATTCTTAAAAAACTACTTAAATAGACTAAGCTATTACTATAACTCTAGCTTTAATACGCTAGTTACTTTTTTATTATTTTTAGTAACTTTAGCTACCTTTTTATACGTAATTATCTCTACGCTTAGAGACTTAAAGTCTACTTTATTTATAATTTATATTAGGTAGCTTTTTAAATCTATATATAATTAGCTACTATATATATATATATATACTATAGAATACTTACTAGTTATAACTAGTTCTAAAATAGAAGAAGGCGTTATTTTATTAATACTTTTAAATATTTAAAGATTTAGAGAATATTTAATATAAAATACTTTTTAGATTAAAGTTCTTATAAATATACTATACGCTTTTTTACTACTACTCTCTTATAACTAGACTACTCTCTTAGCTCTTTTTCTCTTTTTAGCTCTTTAGCTACTACGCTCTAATAATATATATATAACTTAAATTAACTTAGAATATCTACTACGTTTTAGCTACTTAACTTATACTTACTATACTTACGCTTTCTATTCTATTTATAGCTACTATAATTACGTACTTACTACCTCTTCTAGAGTACTATTACTAGATTAATTATAACTTATATTTTAAATACTATACTATAATTTCTTTTCTTCTATAGAAATCTATATAGAAGTAGATTAAGATATACTTTAAATACTAGAACTATAAGCTTTTATTACGTAAAGATAAAAGTAAGTATAAAGATAAAAATAAAGATTAAAGCCTAGATTCTATAGACCTAGATTCTTCTAGAGTAGATATAGAAATAGCTATAGGTGTATTCTAAGCACTTTTTTATAAAGACTCTAGATTTAAAAATAAAAAAACTATAAAGAAATATCTATTAAGTAGTAAATAGTTATCTATATAATATAATATATAATATTAGCTTATTATTTATACTTATAATATATATAATAAGCTTAATTATTAGAATATAAATATATATAAGTAAACTACTAAAGAGCTATAGTATAAGCTTACTTAATTTATATATAGTTATTTAGCCTATAACTTAAGAAAAGATTATAATACTTAGCTTTTTATTAAAGTTATTAAAATTAGTAGTCTTTTTACTCTAAGTAAGTATATTATTATTACTAATACGCTAAGTTAAAATAACTTAAATTAACTTACGCGTACTAGCGTAGATAACTATCTACTATCTTATTTATCTATTATAATAGCGTATAATATTAGTTATATTATATTTAATAATAGTCTCTCTAATTAAATTAAGAAGATCTAATATTACTATTTTATAATAGTAGTTACTATATTTTCTAAAGTATAGAGAATAAATCTATTAAAACGCTCTTACTAACTATAAGATAGAACGTTAGCCTAGTTCTTAGTAGATATACTAAGCTTAGTCTAGATAAGAAGTATATATATATTAGGCTTTATAAAAAACTTAAATAGCTTAAATAGAAAGATTTTTAGTCTTAAACTCTAGATTATAGCTTATCTACTAAAGCTATACTACGTAACTAGTTAATATAAAAATATATTAAGAAAGCGTATATATAGTACCTAAGTATTTAAGTATTACTAATAGTAATTATAATATAGTATTACGTAAGTTCTTATTAAGAAACGTAGCTAGTATATAAAGAAGAGGCTTATAGTAAAAGTGTAAGAGAAAGACTATTCTTAAGTAGTATTTTATATATCTACTTTTAATTATTAGCGTAATATTAAAGAGTTTACTACTTATAACTCTACTTCTATTTCTCTTAGTTTTAATAATATAGAAATACTTATATTAAAGTAATATTTTATCTTTTTATATTTATCTATATAAGTAGAAAAGCTAGTCTACTATATAAGTATAATATTACTAGGCCTTATACTTAGTATAGAAATAAAGATTAAGAAATAAACTAATATATTTTAAGTTATAATTAAAAGTAGAGTTAAAAAGCTAAGTAGTATAAGTAATTTAAAATACTATAAAAGCTAATCTAATACTACTCTAGATCTATATAGAGAAGGTCTATTAATATATTAATAATATATTTAAGAATTAAATTAAAACACTCTTACTAGTTACTTTGCGTATATAACTATCTATATATATTAAATATACTAAGAAACTATATAAAGTGTAGCTTTAGGTAGAATTTACAAACTTCTTAGAAGGTACCTACTAACACTTCTAGTAGCATTATAATACGTATAAAATATTTATTAGTAACCTAGGTAATAGATATCTTCTTATCTATAAGAAGTTAGACTAATAGCATTTAAGGTAATTACAAAAACTTTAGAAAGAGTAAGCCTAGTTAGAACTATTAGTTACTTAAGTAGTACTATATAAGTCTTAATCTAATCTTTTAAGACATCTATAAAGCTCTATAGAATAGCATTGAACTAGTAAGGCGAGAAAGTTTGTTAATAGTTAGGAAGCTAGCCGAGGGCATTCGCAGTGAGTTGCCTATACAAAACTTGACTCCTAAGCTAACAATATGAAGAGTAGTGTCCAGAGACTAGACCTGCTGAACTGAACCTACTTCTCGACAGCATCTACCTCAAAGGTGCACCTATCACTGCGATGAAAAACGAGTGCATTACCAATTTGAGAACGTTCCTTGAGTAGGTACTCAGCGAGCGGACGCCCAACTCCTTTGCTGACTTCAACCGTAGGAAGCAGAGATTACGCTGTCTTACTGACACCGACGATATCTCATACTTCGGGTACGCCATGATCGATGTATACACAGCGAGCAAAGAGATCAGGCGAGGGAAGAAGAGGGAGGAGACACGAAAGGTCATGCAACATAGAACCTTCAAAAGACTGCTACGCGACAAAGAGACAACGCCGTACCACGCGATTCCTGTACAACTAGAACAAGCCATCAAATCTCGAAAGCAGCTGACCAAAGAGTACTTGGAGGAGAAGATTGGGTCGTTATTCCAGGCCATCGGTAATGATCTGAAGCGATTTGGGGTAGAGCAGGCAAGCCCGGACCATGGCGAAGACCGCGAGGTTCGCGAGTCGATTGACAGGACGCTTTCGAACGCGAAGGAGGATCTTGGGACGATTGAGGCGTTGTTGAAGGAGAGCGGCGTTGATTGGGATGGTATCAAGGATTAGTTGACGTGACGATTTTGTCTGGATATGCATTAGATGACATCGGGTAATGAAATTCTATTGCTCTAGTGTTGCTATTATTCTGTCTTTCTAAAGTCAACTTCTGCATACTCGCCGCACGAATTCGCCCACTACTTCTCGCGTCTAACAATGAAGAACCTACCTAGGTAATCCGGTCTTCTACTCGCAAATGTGTTAACTAACAGAGAATGGAATATTGTGCATAGGTGATGCTGCTCGTGTTTGGTCCGGTCTGCGTCTGCGCTGTTGCTTCGAGGATGCGCCACACTATTATCCCCCGGGGGGATAGTGTGGCGCGTGCTGGACTATCTCACCCTCACCACGAACTACCTAGATATGTTTCCAACAGAAGCCCAGAGATAGATATCACAAGACAAACTATACGATTGCCCGCATCAGGGTCTGAAGCGACAGCTGTGTTTCACAAAGCAGGAAAAAATACGAGTCCGAGCTGTTACTTTCGTGTTGAAAAAAAAGCAAAAAGACAGCGGCACGCATGCTCCTATTTCGGGGCGCGCTAGACCGCGCTAGCCAGTAGCGCTAACATCTCCCTGCATCAGCCACCCAGTTCTCCCAACCATCCCATCTCTCCGACATCGACATGACACACGCCTACGCATGCGCGCTCGACTCGTATGTGGAGACGACAGATGCTACCTGGCCATGATAAAGTTCCGGCCCTGGGACCCGCTGTCAGGGTCTGGCTGCGCACGCTGCGCTACGGCAAGACACCCAGACCAATTGACTGCCGATGCGAATGTGAGGCTGTCACTTGGCGGCGGGATCCACCGCTACGACTTTGCTACGTATGATGTGCTGGGGTCTGATTCAGATACTAGGCTTTCAGGGAATGGAGAGATGCATGCAGTGTGGCTTGCGGCTAGCAGGCTCTTCAGATGTTGAGTTGGATATCCTGGTTGCTGTAACGAAGGCTCTTGGAGACAGGATGCAATGGTGAGACTAGCAAGTCGGGTCTGCGTCTACTTTTCGCGCTATACCCATTCGCATGGTTTGCACGAATGCGGTCGCGATCTATCTGCATTTGCAGTTACATGCTCTTCATTCGTAATCTGACGACATCCAGCTGCTCACCAAGGCCTACCTAGGTAACCAACACAACAAGCCAGCAAAACAACCCCATCACAACTCCCGCTCAAACTCATGGCTCTGCAACATCGTCTCCCCCCGCCCATCTATACTAACCCTATGCAACCTGCCCACATTCTTCCCCAAATCCAACTCCACCAAACTATCCTTCCTCTGTCCCCTTCTCATCCGGGACGCAGAACCCGTCATCTCCTGATCCACAATCTCCGTATCATCAGGCATAACCTCATCCTGCGGAACATCTTCAATGCGAAACAAAAGCTGGTATGCCGGCGCATCGTCCGGGCGATTGGGATCCTTTGTATCCCGGAAAATCGTAATACTGGGAATATGTTTTAACCCCAATTCCGCCTTGTGTTGGGCCAGCATAAACGCTTTGTTTGCGCCGACGGGTGTGCCTAGGAGTGCAAGATACTCCTCACTGGACTCGTCTACTTGGACGCCTGGCCATTCCGGTACCTCTTTATAGCCTTTGCCTACGAGAATCCGGTTGACGACGGGTACAGTTTCGGTGTTGATGATGTTGCTACCGAACCAGTATTTTAGGTTTTTGGGATTGGGGTTGCGCAGCCAGAAGGCGGCCATGATGTCGGAGGCTTGGCGGAGGAGAGGGAGTTGGTCCACTGGGAAGCCTTCGGCGTAGGTGTCCATGGCGGCGGGCCAGGGGGCGAGGAAGTTGTGGCCGTAGATTGCTGGAGAGGGGGGTTAGGGCGTGGTGGTGGTTGAAGGGGGGCTGGAAGGATGTCTTACCTCCTTGTTCAGCATTGAAAGCGAAACGGTAGTAAGCCCCAGTAGCCTACGTATAGTCAGCCAAACTGTCAATGTTTGGCGTATGTCTCTTCCTGGAATACTCACGCCATACTCTTTGTCGTCGTCGTCGTCAGGGAAGTAAGTCTGCATGTCTACTGGGAGATCATCACCATCATCATCCACCGCGTTCTCATCCATGTGCTCGATAGAGTAACACTTGTTCTTGCCACCAAATTCCACTGGTTTGGTACTCAGTCCAAGTTTATTCAGCGCAGCCTCGATCCTGTTATTAATCTCTAAGTTTGTGAAGTCGTCCGAAAAGTCGCAGTTGATTTCTGGGTCATAGTAGGCTTCGTGCCAGTACCAATCCCTTAGCTCGGCTGGATGCATGTCAGTGTCAATGGCTGCGTAAGGATGGTGATGGAATGGATAGTACTTACCTTCGAGTGTTCCCTTCCACTGGCTTGCCGCTGATGGCGGATTGCGGTCCAGATAGTTAGGCCAATTTCGTCCCGCGACTTCATCCGGCATTTCCATGAGGCAACGTAGCCAATTGCCTTTCTTCTTGTACTTGTCCCAGCTGGCATCGTTCGCGTAGTCGGTAGGGTCGAAGTCTACAGCAGTCTGCACTAGATTCGGCTCGGAGGCCGGGGCTTTGTCGTTGGTAGATAGGATGCTCACTGCGCTATCGCGACCATCTAGAAAGCTTGATGGAAAGGCTGTGGAATTGGAGGAGCCAAAGGAATCTCCGACATGCTTGCTATAGACCAGCGGTATACAGATCACGGCAAGGAGAAGTGTAGCAATCCTCATGGCTGATGTGACACACGGATTTCGTTTCTCGGGGTATGGGTGTGAATTTGGTTGAGCATTGCATTACTCCAAGCGAGAGAAGTCAGGAGTAAACACACCAAGCGCTTCGTCATAGTCGTGAGTGCGCCTAAACAAGTGGATACAAGCGTTGATAGGAAAGCATACGCGGCGAGTGGCGATTGTTTAGGATTGTAGAGTGCAGAGTGAATGCACACTCCGAAGGCGTCTTCAAACTTGCTCAACCCCATAACTAACCACCGCCGTTCTACCGCCCGTATCAAGACTCACCTGATGCCATCTCTGCACATTTCTCCTTGGATTAACCACCTCCACCACACCATCCCTCCTCTTGAAGACGTTCTCCTTATTAATGTCTGGATGTAAATTAAAAACCACAACCCCCGTATCCATGTCGTCAGGCCTTAGAACATCCTCCGGAACGTCTTCAATACGAAAGAGCAATTGGATATCTGCCTGAAACGACGGATTCGCTTTGTAATCTCGAAAGATAGTGATATCGGTGATGCGCTTATCGCCGAGTGCGGCTTTGTGTTGAAGAAGGAGGTACGCAAGTGTTGCGCCTATGGGTGAGCCTGATATAGTGTTAGTAAGAATCAGGATTTTGTTCTCAAGGCGTTGAAGATATGACATGTCGTAGTATCATGACCCAGGAAAAAAGAGACAGCGCCAACATACCAACCAAAACAGTCCCTTCTTCGCTATCCGCACTGATACGTACACCAGGCCACTCCGGTATTCTGTCATACCCTCTCTCCTCCAGTACCTTGTCGATCAGCGGTAATGTCTCCTCGTTAACCACATTATTCGCGAAGTAATACTTCAAACCCTTCGATGCTTTGGAACGATCTCATGGATTTGGTGTCTTGACGTTGATCAAGTCATGAGTCTACCAGTCCAAGATATGATCTTGATTGGACATAGCAGCGAGCGGTGGGCACGCGCGGCGAACCGTTTTGGGACAAGATTGACAGTGAAAGAATGCGTATCAAGTGCATTGCGTGATTAGCAAACGTTAAACAAGGCGGTTTCTTAAACGCAGCAGGTGCAGTACTTCACGCACTTCCCAGAAACCGCGCGCCCGCAGAAACTGGTCTAAAATTGGACATCACGACATTCCTGTAAATCTCAATGGAGTCAAAGTCAACACGATTCACGTTCTACAGGTGCGAAAAAAATCCAGAGAGGGGCAGTAAACGCTTAAAACAGAAGAGATGCGAGACTAAAGAAAGAGGACGGAACGAAAGAGGATTCGACAAGTACCAGAGCTTGCCGGAACCGCGAACCATTGACCAAAATAGATAAAGAAGACGAATATAACTTCTCGACTGGATAGCCGCCAACTCAAAATAGCAGCCCAAGGCAATCTGCTCGACTCACCATAACAAATCTACAGATAGCCTTCATTCCTTCCCGATGCCTACCTCCTTTCCCACATATCAACTCACCCATACCCTTAAGACGCAAGCTTACCAACACCATAAGGCTGAGTACCACATCACTGCCTCAAGCATTCCAGAACAATGTTGGTCAGACCGGCTCATCTCACGCCGTCATCTACCCGGCGCCTTGGTTTACGGGATGCCGGTCGCACAATACTGCATGCTTGCTTTTACCCAAAGCACGTCGAACCAAAAATAAGCAAGCAAGCAAGTTACGTTACTCAGCGCGATGGCGCTGTATCATGGATGTACGCGCGCGTCGCGGGAACACATGTTCGACTATGCTTAGGTGTACCGGAGTGAGCGTGCTGACTGCGCGGTGGAAAGGTTAGGTTACTAAGGGTGGGAATGAGTGGTGATGCAGGAGAGATAAGAGCGACCGTCGCTTCTACCACGCATCCTACACATGTTCGGCCATGCTAGGTGTACCGATGTTCGCGTGCTGACTGTGTTGCGGAGTCGAGCAAGGCTTGTGGTATGTTGCGCGCGTGAGACGGGCCGTAGTCTGCTTGGTGTATGGATGGGCCGCGCGGAGCGTCGCGGAACGACTGTATCAGCGCAACAGCTGAGGTCAGTCGTTGGTGTTGAGCAGCAAGCCGGAAGAGCTGCGTGCAGTAATGGTGACCGCTTCATGTCATCATGGAATGGTAGTTTGACCAGTCAAGCTCGCTCACTAGGCGGTGGTGTGAGGGAATCCTGGATATTGGTACCGCGAGGGAGATGCCGTATTTGGTGTCGTGCCCATGTCTATCGAGAACCCGAGTCCTGGGTTCATGCCACATGGAAGGCGTAATCGTACGAATGCAGTAGCTCTGCCGTAAACCTGCAACCGGTGCAATTGGGCTGACCGGGGGAATGGGGAATAAGGAAAGCTGCCGACACGATGATTGGAGACGCGACGGGTAACGCATGCAGCCAAAAACCATCGCAATTGGAACGCCATTCCCATCCGAAGTACAAAGAGGAGTTATTCGAAACTAGAGTTTGGCGTTACTGGGAGGGCTGCAGCCGGCGCATTCTTTTGGGATATCGGAGGAACAAGAAAGTGTATCGATAGTGGCAGGTTATCCATCGTGTTCCGGAAGCGTACATGTGCATCGCGCATGTGGAACGGCATCGTGTGTCTGAGAAGAGCTGATGTCACTGAAATTTTCCTAGTGTGCATCGAAGAACTCTGTTGCAGTCGACACAAAGCTGAGGAAGGTTTCTCTTTGTGCAGCGTACCTTGAACCTACCTGGTAGTGCTGACTGCACACGTGGACATGTCGGCGAAGAGCAGAGGAACTGGTGTTCGGCAGCTGCAGTCAGCCTCGGATGCTAGCATATTGGAGGGCAGCCAGATGACGCACGAGGCCTGGCGTAGCGAGCTTCAAGACGGCGCACAAGAGTACCGGAGCAGCGGAATGATGCGAAAAGGTACATACTTCCGGATCGACGGCGGAAATTTTTCTGGTGCGACAATCATTGAGTCGCGAGAAATGTCGCGGGGCTGGCACGCGGAATTGCTCAGGGAACACGATCGGGGGAGAGGCGGCCTCGGACTGTGTAGCCCAAAGAGTAGTGATTTGGGCGCCAGCGCAAGGAGATCATCAGGGACGAGTGATGGGCTACGTGGATGTGAAGTCATCCTTGTTGATCGCTTTCACGCTGGCGTCCGGGGAGCTCTGCGACAAATCCGAGATGAAGCAGGTCTTTCAGCAGTGGCCTCGCAATAACCCGGCGCAACGTCTTGCCTGCTTGGACGTTCAAAGGTAGTTCCTACGTTACACTGTAAGGCCCGAATAGAGCTGCGTGAAACGCTATGAAATGCGACGCTCGAAAGCTGAATTGCCTTGTGTAGATGGCTCCGCCGGCTAATGGTACCGAATCCCCAGCCAGTACCTGTCAACATGACAGCTAGTGCGACGGTGCTCATGGAACTCTCCTTCTGCAGCAGCGCAAAGTTCGTACAGCGCACACTTGGCCTTGAGTCGGCATGAATGCGCTGGTACATCGGCGAAGCGGCTCGCGGGCCCTCTTCCAGTAGTCAGGCGAAGGTCCACACAGAGCAGAATTCCACGTGTAGACAGGGTTCTCTTTGTACGCGATGATCCTTTTGGAGATGACAACCCTTGCTTCGCTTCTCATCGCTGGGACTGGCACGCAGATTGCAGTAGCGCGCTCAAAGAGGAAGTGCCAAAAGCCGTTCCAGGACCCACTTTCCCTCCTCCCCGCAAGGTCTAACTCACGATCACAATTTCGACAAAGTTTTCTGTGGAGAAATCCGTCAAACACCTGTCAAATTGCAAGGCGGTCGGAATTGACAGCGATGCTGCCAGTAAAACGTCGGTGGCTTGGACGGACGTTGAGAGGAAGATGACCTGACGGAGTTCAGACCCTGTCGATGTGTGACGACGCTGCACTGGTTATCGGATGATGGCTGTGAATCACGATCGCGAGGATAGAGTTGAGCGAGCATGGACTGAAGATCGCGAACGCTGTTTGAGCCCTCAACGCTCCCGCACTGATAGGCGTGAGGCTATGGCAGCCCAACGTACGACGGGCGCAGGTATCAGCGGAAGACAGCGATCTCTCAGTACAGTACTGTACACAAGACGGTATGAGCAAACACGCTGGTCGAGCGCTGGGCGGTGTCGCGTGGCTTTCGGCATGTCTCTGCGTGAGGCTAGTGGATAAGGACGGGATGCCCTTGTCGCGCGTCTCAGCCTGATTGTGAAGCACACGACCCCTGTCCATACCCAGGACGGCGAATCAGGGTTGGTGCTGCTTGCGAATTATATTATTGGACTGGCATAACGGCTGCATTCTGGCAAATGTGTTTGCGATGGACGGCGGGCTGTAATACGGAGGAATCCCAAGGGGGCAAGAGCGATGTCATCGTTCCTTCCGTGCCAGAAACAATTCGTCATGGCGACGGCTGGGCTCCGTGGTGGGTGAGCGAGTGCGTCAACGAGGCTGCGACGTGTAGGTTTTTTGGAGAAGCAAGCGATTGTGCGCGAAACCTTGCTGGTCATGATCCCGGGACGTCGAACGCATGCAGCATCCGTGTGCTTGGAGGCGCGGAAGGCTTGCAGTGATCCGCGAATGCGACGTGTCTGAGAACGACCGGCGGCCAAATTTCTTGGTCGTGAATAAGTGCGCATTCTGTGTCAGTTTGTCTGCGATGATCAGGGACAGCCTGGGAGTGAGGGCGACTCAGCGGGCGATTCATTCTTCCTTCCAGAGGCTTTCCAGAACAAACCGCAGGCGAGATTTTCGTGGCGCCGGGCCCACTCACCGCAAGCCGGGCAACGCTCTCATTACGGCACCTGGCGATGCTGCTGGCGAATTGCTTTGGCGGCCGCGGTGCAGAGGCATAGTTGTTTGCACGCCGCAGATGTGATGGTGGTGCTGGGCTGCGGCGAGGGCAGCTCCTTCCTCATCGCCACGCACGCGAGGGTTGGTTGAGGCAGGAGCAGCCCATCCCACGTGGCGCAACCCCGTCACAAGCAACGACGCGGAAGCAAAGGCTCCAAGACAGCTACGGTTCATCAAACCACAAAAGCAAGCTGCTATGAACATGTCCCGTCAAACATCAGCCGCCACGGTCAAAGGCAAGTGCACTGCGATCCCGACAGCCAGTAACCCGGTTGGCTGGGAGGCATGGAGGGCAGACAGGGCTGCGAGAGAGGTGATTCAGCATAGGCAGTGGACCGGCCGGGGAAGGACATCCGGAAGTCTGTGTGGCGTCTCTGAACCTTCTCTTCTTGCTTCTGGCGCAGTCCAACAAACGCGGCACGAGTCGACGC